GGCAACGTACTAATGTTGTTTTAATTTGCAAATCCAAATGTTTTATTTATTATATCCCGAATAAATGGCCACCATACCGACAGTGTTGTTTTAATTCCGTAACGCGGAGAGCTATGATTTACTCCGGGAACGAGCACTGCTCCACGGCCATAAAGAACTCCTGAAAATTGTTCAACTATGAAGAACTCACAAATACTTGACTTTCAAACATTAAACCTGAATTACTGATTATTTTTAATCTTTCGTCTTTAATATACATTATTTATATTATTATTGGGTCATTGGGCTCCCTAAAATATGGTCGAGCGCAGTGATGGCTGGCTCATCCGTCATACTCGTGAACGAGTGCTGCTTGTAGTGACTGGTCTGCTCTTATTGTATACTAGCTGTTGAATTTTGTTTGTTTCTTAAATAAAAGCCTAAGTTACTCCTTATTACATCAGCTACCTGCCAATAAAAGTCCCGTCAAAATCGGTCCAGTCATTTCAGAGATTAGCCGGAACAAACAGACAGACAGATAGACAAAAATTGTAAAAAATGTTATTTTGGTGTATGTACCGCATTTATATTCATATGCATGTAGTAAAAAACGGTTATTTCAATATTACAAACAGACACTCCAATTTTATTTATATGTATAGATTTATATTTGACCTTAAAAAATTAGTGCTGGTTGGTAGTTTGTATTCACACGTTTCGACTTGTAAATGTGAACTTACAAGGATTATTTAAAAGAGCAACACACAAGTTTCTTGCTCGTTCTTCTTGTAATGAGACAGCTTTCCGAATGAGCGGTAGATAAAAAACATTGTTATGACTATTCAAAAGTGTTTAAATTAGGTTTATTTGAATAAATGATTTTCTATTCTATTCTATTAACCGGGTTATAACCGGGTTGCATCCGGCTCGAAGGACCACTTGAAGCCGATATAGGTAAGGGTGGAGTGGTGAAATATTCAGGAATGAAACTATGAAGTTACAGCTGTCCGTGTCTCTTGTGCATATATAGCGTGAGGATGGTGGATGCGTTCGCCTGCGGTACGAAGGAAGTGATAATTGCATAGGGTCGCTATCTACGCACAAGCGGTGAGATTAATTTAATTAGTAAATAAGTAGGTATACAGGTATGTAACATAGAATCTTATAGATACACCCTACAAACAGACAATATATTTTAACAGTAAAGTATTAATTTATACATCATCATCATCATCGCAGCCCGGAAGACGTCCACTGCTGGACATAGGCCTCCCCCAAAGATCTCCACGACGATCGGTCCTGCGCTGCTCGCATCCAATGCCTTCCAGCGATCTTGACCAGATCGTCGGTCCACCTTGCTGGAGGCCTTCCCACGCTGCGTCTTCCGGTCCGTGGTCGCCACTCGAGGACTTTACTGCCCCAACGGCCATCTGTCCTACGAGCTATGTGCCCTGCCCATTGCCACTTCAAAGTCGCAATTCTTCGGGCTATGTCGGTCACTCTGGTTCTTCTGCGGATCTCCTCATTTCATGATGATGATGATGAATGCACAAAAACAATGTGTACATATGGCGGACTTAACACCATGTGGCGTTGTCTACCAGGCAACCATGAGTGGTGCAGAGAAAGATTGTTGGCGGTGCACTAATATAAATAAGAAATGTCAAAAAAATATATAAATATAAAGCAAAAGATTTTAAATAGTAATTTCAATAAAAATTAATAATAATAATAAAGATACATAAATAGATGTATAAATATAAACATAGGTATAGAAATATTATATATAAATAAATACATAATGATCTGATAATCAAATTATAAGTACAGCCTCAAGTTGAAAGTAAGAAAATATTATATATATAGAGAGAGAGCTATAGAGAAATAACAGAAAGATGTGTAAAAGGTAGAAAGATAGTAAAAAAGTTACAAATTTAAATAATGTTCCCGCAATTTCTGTTTAAACGAATTTTTACTAATATTTTAGTTTTATTTTAAAATCCGGTTTGCAGTCGCGAGGTACTTCGTCTACACGGTTCTTAACACGAACTAATTTTATGGCAAATAAAGTTATACCTCTGTCTGAATTACTGGCGTCAGTAATAACCGAGAAATGCAATTTACAATTCAGAATTCACTAAAGACGTTTGAATTTGACTCGTAATTCCACTCTCTTTCACTTGTAATAAATTACGATTTGAATTTATTGGCCGTTCGGCTAGCTGTTTTAAATTTATTGGAATTAACGATAACACTTTGTATAAAGTCGTTAGCATGGACTGGGTAGTGCTGTATAATTATTTCTACCACCAAACATTCTGCTTTGTAAGAATAGAAAAAGAATAGAAATGTAAAAAAAGAAAATTGTCTTTATTCAAATACAGTTATGAAATTAAATTAAATGAATTGAAATGAATATTTATCACTTTTTTACAACAAAATACCAGAGTCTGTTATATATATATATAACTCAAAAGTGACTGACATAGTGATCTATCAACGCACAGCCGAAACCACTGGACCGATCAGGCTGAAACTTGGCATGCAGATAGATGTTATGACGTAGGCATCCGCTAAGAATTTTGATTAATTCTACCCGCAAGGGGATAAATTATGGGATGAAAGTTTGTATGAAACTTCGTCAATTTTAAATCGATCGGGCTGAGACTTTGCTTGCATAAAGCTACTATGACATAGCCTAAGAGGATTTTGATAATTTCCACCTCTAAAGGGATAAATTAACGCGAGCGAAGTCGTGAGCAAAAGCTAGTGTCATATAAAACACTTCCATTGTAAAAAAGCTCACTATAAAATTGAAGAATTCGTTAACGACAATAATGTTTTTATAGAAAAACTTTAAATCCATAGCACTGACAATATTATCTGATTACACTAATAATGAGTGCGTAGCGATTTCTATGTTGATTATCGCATGCCTCTTACTAATTATTATATAAAAAAAAAACATTTACTCAAAAGAGCAACACACAAGTTTCTTGCTCATTCTTCTTGTGATGAATCTGCGTTCCGAATGAGTGGTAGAATCAAAATATGACTACTCAAAAGTGCTTGTAATGAGTTTATTTGAATGAAGATTATTTATATTTCTATTAAAAATGTACATATGTAGTTTTTATAAGGTCTTTTGTGTGTGTCAAAATGTGTGAAACTCACACATTTTGTCATTTCTGACATGCAACAGACAAAACAAATGTCAATTTTGTTTGTTCTTATAATTAAAGAGCCATTATTTATAAGTCTTATTCATTAATTAGCTACTATGACGTAGGCATCCCCTAAGAAAGGATTTTGATAAATTCCACCCCTAAGGGGATAAATTAACGCGAGGAAAGCCGCGGGCAAAAGCTAGTATGAATATAAATACGGTACATACACCAAAATAACATTTTTTTGCAATTTTTGTCTGTCTGTTTGTTCCGGCTAATCTCTAAAATGGCTGGATCAATTTTGACGGGTCTTTATTTTGGCAGGTAGCAGATGTGATAAGGAGTAACTAAGGCTACTTTTATTTTAGAAAAATTCCACGCGGTCGAAGTCGCGGGAACAGCTAGTAATAAATGAAAGTACCCTAAGTTACTGTACGAGTGAGAGTGTTAAAAAACTTAACTATGTGATGTGCGGAGGTGTTGCTTATTATGGCATTACTATCAATGGTATTTGAAGATGCGTTGAAATTGGCGTACGGTCCGCGCCGCGCCCGTCAGACCGGTCTGTCTGCTCCCTGTAGTGTTGCCAGCGTATAGTTTTACCATTGGAGATGGTAGATTTTAAACCTTCTAATGGCATTTTGGTGGTTAGCGTATTTTTTGTAGTTTGAAATAATTATTGTAGGTTAAAATATATACTTATAAATAAAATTGGAGTGCCTCTTTGTAATATTGAAATAACCGTTTTTTACTACATGCATATGAATATAAATACGGTGCATACACCAAAATAACATTTATTACAATTCTTGTCTGTCTGTTTGTTCCGGATAATCTCTGAAATGGATAGACCGATTTTGACGGGACTATTTTTGGCAGGTAGCTGATGTAATAAGGAGTAACTTAGGCTAGTTTTATTTTAGAAAAATAAAGTAAAACTAATTAAGTTTTTTGTTAAATTCCACGCGAACCTACTCGCGGTTACAGCTAGTGTGAAGTATGTAGTTACTTATTAATAATAGAGATAAATAAATATGCTAATCACTACATTCGACGATTCCATGCGGTATTTAAAAGTTTTTTTAAAAGCATTATGTATAGGCTTAAAATGAAATAAAATTAGTAAATCGAATGAGTTGAATTAACGTTTTACTTTTGACCAACTAAGTAATAACGGACCAAATTATTGTTACCATTAATTAAATATCACTTGTTTTTTTATTTTCTTCTCAATTACATCTGTATACTGAAGTAGATGGTGGGGGAAAAAATATGATTAAAAAAACTACGTGCATATGCGGCTAAAATGTCCCTCATGAATAAATGATTTTTGGTTTTCGTTTAATTTGATTTACTAAAAGAATCAAAATATTCGTGTCAAATTATACCTCGTGATAGTTGTACTGGATCCATTAATTTAAAATCATGGCGGTTTATTACTAGTTTTTGGAGATCCAAATAGTGAATTAACTATTTTATTTTTTTAGTATATGATGATAACAAAATGTTGCATCCGCCTGTGCTGGGAGATCCAACTAGTCAATTAACTTCTTTTCATTGATGTGAATGTAATGATGCACCCGCCTGTGATATACGTTAACACTGACAAGACACCAATGGAGTATGATAAGTTATGCATGAGATCAGGGCAGTTAGCCCATCAAATTTACCAGGAACACGATGATTTCGAGCAGCCAGGTGCTGATCAACCTGACATGGTACATAGCTAGCTTCCTTACTCTACATTACTAATAATTCCCTCCCAGTGGGTTAAATGTACCATTGCTGGCAACCCTGCCCCCCGCAGTCGCCGTCACCCGGTACACCGTCGCGACCAGTTCTGTACGAGGAATGGGCACTTGCAAAAACTGACACCGTCTGGTCGCAGGTCTCGTATTTGTTTTAATAATGTCAGTGAAGTGTGCGCCTCGTTAATTTGTTGTAGTGTCAGTGTGAAGGTCAGTCAGTGTCAAGGTCAGTCAGTGTCAAGGTCAGTCAGTGTCAACAGTGTCGAGTGTCTAGTGTCTGATGTAGTGTTGTCGGGAATGTCGCGTCGTGACCAAGCACCATGCTGGCAGTTCGCCACGCCAAGGTAAACCCGTACAGTTATTTATAATATCATCTTAGTACTTACACTCTCGCTGACTTTGGATGATGACAATTCATGGTTACCATGATCTATCAAGGTTCAAAGACAATTAAACGATTTTCAATACATACGGGGACAGCTCTGTATTTATCTATATACTAGCTTTTGCCCGCGGCTTCGCTCGTGTTAATTTATCCCCCTAGGAGTGGAATTTATCAAAATCCTTTCTTAGCGGATGCCTACGTCATAGTAGCTTTATGCATGTAAAGTCTCAGCCCATTTAAATGAATAATCGATTTTTGCGAAATACATGTTTTTTTCTGTTATTTAGAAATCTACGTGTATTTCATATTCCAATAATACTCCTAAGATAATCATATTAACAATTTATTAAAAACTAAAAATCGAAGCTAATTTGAACATACAAGTGAAAAAATTGCTATAAATGTCCAGTACTGTTTTACAGTCGACTAGTTTTAAAAAAGGTACTGAATACGATAATTTAAAAACTAAACGACTACGTTGTAGCTTCAAATACTAAAATATAAAACAAATTTTGCGTTAATCTTTAAGTTTAGACAATCAAAAGACGAAAAATAATTACTTGCACTAATTTTTAGTCTTGTTTTACGTAAGAATACATAATATTAAAATAAAATGAAATGATAAGTGAAAACGCAGTTTATGAAAATCGATTAAAACAAGTAATTTATATAATCGATTTATTAAAAATCGATTAATAATACTATGAAAATCGATCATAAAAAATCGATTACTAGATAATTACAATCGATTTAAATGAAAATCGATTACTAGATAATAATAATCGATTTAAATGAAAATCGACTATTTATTAACATCCCTATAGACACCAAGAGAATAGCCATTAGTCGTGTGTTTTCATATAAATAAATACACAAATTTCACATTAAGTTTATAATAACAAGGCTTAATTTTAGAAAGCTCTTGTTATAAAGACGACATGAAATTTCTCAATTGGCTCGCAGCCTCTTAACTCTAATAACAAAACGCTGGTCCACAGAGCCCCAGACAACGTGCTACCAATGTAAATGTAACGAGTGACGAGTAATAAACTCGTCACTCATTACATCTGCTGTTAAAATCAAACAATTATTAATTAAAACAAATACAAAATATTTTCATTAATGTAAGTCTATTACAGACTCTTATGATATGCCAAATCTACCGTCAGTTCGGAGTGATTTCGAAATGAGAACTGATTAGAACTCAGCTCGTATTCTTTTCAAATTAATCTAAATATATATAACTCAAAGGTGACTGACTGATATAGTGATCAACACGCAGCCCAAACCACTGGACGGATCGGACTGAAATTTGGCATGCAGATAGATGTTATGACGTAGGCATCCGCTAAGAAAAGACTGATTAATTCTACCTCCAATAGGATAAAATAGGGGATAAAAGTTTGTTTGAAACTTTGTCAATTTTAAACCGATCGGGCTGAGACTTTGCGTGCATAAAGTTACTATGACGTAGGCATCCTCTAAGATTAGACTTTGGTAAATTCCACCCCTAAGGGGATAAATTAACGCGAGCGAAGCCGAGGGCATAAGCTAGTGAAACAATAAAAGAATAATTTTATATTCGATCAGTTAATATATTATTAATTCTCTAGGTATACATACAGAACGTTGAAAAATGAGAGTCTTGCATCCGCCGCTATTTGCAGAGTTATCGATCCTTGTCCGTAACAAATGACGCTGTACTTGCAACTTGCGACCCCGGGAAATGAACCACTGACATTAATAACAGAAGCCGGTCGTCGTCGGCTCGTTACGTCTTTGTAAGTCGCGTTTATGTCCAAGTTTGTTAAAGAAAATGACATCAGGCGACGGCGCTGCGCGGTCGGACCGCTACGCGCTCGTAAAACATTAATATTTCCAGCATAGACTGCAGAGCATTGTGAACATGTTAATGTTTACAACGTTTGGTTTAAATCACAGATAATATAATATTACATACAGATACCCCATCCCATACAAGAAAATGGTTCCTTCCTAACTCGGGCTATTCTTCGGGCTATTTTATTTCGCCACCGTAGCCGCTAGATGTCGCTATATCTGAAGCAGTTTGGATTACTAGTGGGTGATTAGTAATAAAGCATGAAAATAGATGGCAGAGAATTCGGTCTACATGACATCTGTTTTGCAAAGATACGTACATAATAGATATATAACTGTATCGAACTCCTGATTGGGTACAATCGAAAATTCAATGTAGGTATAATATTGTTCGCTGACAGTCTACAGACACGGCTAATGTACCTATGTATCTATGTACTATGTTACAGTTACTTTTTTACATGCCTACTTTTTTTCTCCCGACGAAGATATGTCATAACGCGTCTGAACTAAAATCGGGCTATCGGTTAAGGAGCAATAGCTCCTTAACGAATAGCCCGATTTTAATACGGTTTTTTTATTTAAATTGTTATGTGATAGTGATAGATTTTAGCTATAATCAATTGATGTGCATATGGGTACCTCATATAATTTTCAGTGTATAAATATTTCTCAATATGTAGTTAATTATGGTAAACTGGCAATTTGTAAAACTGAAAATAATATCTGCAAACCATCAATCTTTTATATGTAGGTTCTTTCAGGGATACTACATCGGTGCTAATGACATGTAGGTACTTATTTTGATGTTATACCTATTTGTAGAACCTTCGATATCTACAAACTACGCCTTTACTGCTAGTTTTTTGGTATTTATGTAAGTTGTTATTCAGTTGAAATTAAGCTGCGAAATTAGAGGATATTTGGACATAACATCTATGTTCTCCAGAATGATAACGTATGCGGGATATAGCGGGCACGACATGATGACGTAATGCTGTTTAATAATATATGTGTATGTATGTACGTCGGATAGCGTCGTGGTTGGATGGATCGTCAGCTTATTTACCATTTCAGTTAATAATAGTAGGTAGTAACTTTTGACAATATGGATGAAGGAGGGTAACGGTGATGATGATGAGATCAATAATGACTGTTGACGATAGTGACGGTGGTATTTATTTATGACCACCATAAAATTCATCATTGGCAGCATTCTCAACATTATCATCATTGTTCATCATGATGATTGAGATCAAATTAATTAATTGATTAAAAAAGTAGCAAGTATTAGGTAGGTACTAAGTCCTTATATGACTTAAATACAAGGTTCTGGGATGCTGTGATATACTACAGTCTCTAGATTTTGTTTCTTATTAGTATTCCACGACCAAAGTCTATAGACAGAGAAATATAGATTTACACAAAGTTTCTTGATGTAAATGGGAATTATTATACACATTGCATTAAAAAATATATATGATTACCATCTAATACCATCTAAATCATTATGTAGTAAATAATTCCTGACATTTTAAATCGAATGAGGTGAAACTAACATTGCATGAACACAACACTTGAAGATCATAACATTTTTATTTCAGGTAATAAAACACTTTTAAATAATTTATTAATCACAGAATAAACAATTGTTAATAATTTACAATAATATTTCTTTCACTGCTTGTCTGTTATACCACTAAAACTTCAAACACTTCTGTTATTTTTATATTATATTCCAAATAAATCAATATCAAGACATAATATTTCATCAAAATCATTTCATAATTAATTCCTGGTACACTAAATATTCCTGGATTTGTTGATGAAGCAATATAATAATAATCATGAGCTTAAATCATAAACTTATTTGCAGTCGGTTACACATAATATAATTACTTGGAATTTCTTCTCATCACTAGTCCGTTGCTTTCTTACTTATTTAATTATATTATTAATTGCATTGTGATTAATAATTTACAGATTTTTCTTCTGCTATTTTCTCTTATTTTTACTTGCATTATTATTTTATACAGTAAAATGTTCATATATATATATATATTTCTTATTCTTTTGAACTCCTGTTCTTTACAGTAAAAATGTTATTTATCTTCATCTGAATGACTAGGAGATTTAGAATATCATCTCTTATTTGTTTAAACTTTGTTCAGTATTAAGTTGTTGATGTCAGGAAAATCTGAAAACAATATCATATACCATGTTACATTTTCATGAACTTACATGAATGAATTTACATGAAAGTAACTAAACTGTGACCTTATTAGTACAATAAACATATTATTCATACATCATATTCATTCAGTTCTAATAAAATATAAAAATAATACTACTGTTTAGTACTTTATTTTGATTAATAATTTTCAGTATTTTCTCAATCAATCAAAAATTATAAAATCAGTGTTAGTTTTTTGAAGTTACATTCATACCAATAATAAAAACATAATAATACCACATTAAAGCGGTCACCAAGTACATATGTTTATTATATTTTAATATGAAAGATACACACGCATACATATGCAAGTTTTTAACAACTTATAGTTATACCTGGTATGAGATAATCCTCAAAGACACGATAGTTTACTAAATATTTGTAGTAGTCCTTAGACACATTTAAATTATTGAGTTTGACAAAAAAATAAGAAGTTCAATGAACTCTGAACAGGGACAATTCAAAAGTTGAAGTACCTACTTAACTTAAATGATGAAAAAAGAGAAAAAATCCAATGCTAGTGAAAATATGTTTTAAGCATTTGACTTAAAGTCGTTTATCCTATTCTTTTATTCCTATATTTTATATTTTTAACATTTCATTTATGTTGCCAGTACTCGTTGTCATTTCGATATAATAAAAAAATATGGACCAACCTACGATTTTAAATCGATATTTTTATTTGTGATGAAATCTAATAATATAAATTATTAATAACCTACCCTCGAATGGAGATATTAAAAAACTAATTATCATGAATAGTGGGTACTAGGATCAGTAATATATCATAGTATTATGAATGATTATCGTTTCAAAACCTTGTACAATTTAGTAAGGTTGAAAATATCCATCTACAAAAGCAAAATTCGAGTATTTGTAAAGTTTCT